TCTTGTTTATTTACCATTATTACATATTATTAAGGCAAGTCATAGACGGGTCATTTATCGGCCGAATTTTCGTCCGCACGAAAAATCGGTCAATAAGCACTCCAGCCCGTCGGCCGTTTTTTGCGGATCTCCACATTTATTTTTATTGTTTTTTGTGGACATTGGTGGCAGCATCGCTGCCAGCAATGACAGATCTTTTGTTTATCAGACGATTATGCCCTGATTATCAGTATAAGCAATGTACTCACTGTATCCTGTCAGACAAGCCTGTTTACATGTGACTAGCTGTGATTGGACACAGCTGATCTCATTGTATAGGGCTGCTGTGATTTCCCCAAAAGACATTTGGACATTTGTCCAAAAGACACAGCGGTCACAGAGTGCACTCAATGCATGCTCCAGGGGGAGGCGCACATGTCCATTGATGTCCTCCCAGAACTGGGGAGCAATGCCTATAGTACGGACGGGAAAAGGTTTAAAAACATTTGTTGCATGAATATCACAGATTTCAAATTTTAGCCATAATTGCTGTAATAGATTCATTTATATTATCTTCATCTCCATGTAGTGGCCAAAATGCAACATAGTTTTCTGAAATAATGAGAAAATATACCACATCCAGGCTACTAGACGGAGGTGACTATTATAGGAATAAATCTATTTCAGAATTTACAGCCAAAATTCATGTGACCTGCACAAATGGGTGGGCATTTGTCCAACAAATGTTTTATAAATAGATCCTTTGGAGCAGAGTCATTCTGAAATTGTTCAAAAATGTTTGCAGTCTGTCATGAGGCCTTCTCCTGGGGAACATCTAAACCAGCCCTTCTCTACCTTTTTTAACCAAGAGGAACCCTTGAAATAATTGTCACATCTCAGGGAACCCCTGCTAAGGTTAGTCCATTGCAGGTAACTCGAAAAATTTGACTCCTATGAACTTTTTTGCTGTTCTGCATAGACATTTATGTACACATGGCACTTTCATTACTATGGTAATTGAAAACATTTATCTTACATTGGTGGTCCGTGGATGAATGTCCCCCTTATAGTGGTGGTTAGAATGCCACCCTTGAAGTCAGCTTTAAAGATCATTGGTGTCATTCTACCTGGCTCTGTCAAGTGATGATGGACCTGGAACTTTGTAGGCACCATCAGATGGGAGACCAATTAACCACAGCTCAAGGAGCCCCTAACAACTTCTGGCGGAACCCTAGCTGAAAATGACTGATCTAAAGGGTAAAATGTATATATTTTTAGGTATGCTGTGTGAATGGGAACATATAACAAACATATAGTGGGGTTTTCTCAAATTCGAAAAGTGTCTGCTTTGACATTAAACACAATAATTCCAGACTAGGTAGGACTGGAGGACATGGCCTTGTTAGGAGGGATGAAAGCGGTTAGAAGGAAGATTGGAAGAAATCACTTGGCATATAAAGTACATTAGATAACAGTATTTTCTATGTCAGTGCTAATTATTATAGCATGATTGATGTATTTCTATCTTACGGTTTAATTTCTGATGGTAAGAAATGCCTAGTTACTAAGCAACCTGCTGTTTATTGAACAAATTTGGGTAGGCGTTGTGTGGAGATCATAATTTCATACCGAACGTCAATTGTGGGAAAATGTGCACAGTGCCAGGACTTAAATGCCAGACAATTTGTTGGGTCTTGTGTTCAGTCTCAATAAGAATTACACTGTTCATAAATAAGGCTGACAGGTGGAATTGTTCTGCTTTTTAATGCAAAAGGTAGTTTATTGTTCCATACATTCATTCACGTAGGGTGATGGTCCCCAGAAATTGTGACACACTCATAAGTTATGCTGTTGAGCGGCTGGTAATAACTCATTAGTGGTTGTTAATGTATTGCAGTCTTAAGGTGACTTCAAAATTCTTAAAAACAAAAGGATCAACCCTGCCGCCGATCAAACACCGCTCTCCTCCACCTACAACCAGTGTTTTACTGCTTTCAAATTGTCTTTATTTTCATCAAACTGATAGATGAATAACATATTAGAAAGTGGCAGGTCATCTTTATTGCTTTAGGCAGTAATACATACAGCCCCAACCCACATCATTGCCAACATTCCAAGCAATAACCCAGGTGGCTACAGTAGACATCAGGGGATGCAGGGACCTGGGAATCGACCACTGGCTCTGATCCATCAAGTAGATAAAGTGGGTGACATAATAAATTACATACTGTATATGATGAACATGTCACTAGCAACTAGCAGCAGTTTTGTTATTCAGGGTCCCCCCCGTAACAGTTTTATTACCTGATCATGGCAGTAGATCTGTTGTATTTTCACTTCCTATAATAGGACAACACAGTTCGCTCTGCAGTTAAATCACATAGAGTGTTGTCACCCTGCGATTGGGTAGTCTCAAACCATGTAATCCTACATTGACTGTAAAGTCCAACCACGGGCACATAAAAAACTGTTCCTTGCAGCAGGGCTGTGCCCACACTGCAAGGGTTAATTGCTCATTTATGTCTAGGGGAATAATAACAGAAAATATACTTACTCGATCCTCTGCTCCTTCCCCCCCTAGACTAGTCCTTGCAGCTTCTGCACCCCTACATTCCCTGAGGTCATGAAGACCAGAGTAGGGTCCATAGACCTGCTTTGGACGTGAGGATGCCGAAGGACAGTCCACCATGGCAGGGGAGCACTGTCTGCTGGAGGATCAGGTAAATAAAACTTTCCCCTTTTCCCTAGACAAAATGAGCTGTAAGGGGGGGGGGGTCTGGGGTGTACAGCACCACTGCAAGGGATCATTTTTTTATCTGCTTGAAGTTGGGCTTTAAGAAATGTCAACAAAATTAAAGCCAAACTGGTGATTACACTAAAAAGGCCATTACAACAGTTTTTTTTTTCTTGTGGAAAAATGGTTTAGGCTGGGTTCATACTCTTGCACTGTGGTAACACGTATTAGCCCTGGTTCACATATATGCAGCCGTGCGTGTCGCGTTTTGCGCGGGCACGAGAGCCCATTCATTTGAATGGATTCCCTTGCCCTACAGCACGCAGAGAAGAAATCCCTGCACTTCTCCTGAACGCGCAGCCCACACGGGAACCTCGGGTCCCAGTAAGGTTGCGTTTTCCAGTGCGGGCGGCGTGCCATTAGAACTAATGGCACCCGTCCACGGGTCCGCATTTCTCTGTGCGGGTGGTGCGGCTGCATGGATTTTCGTGCAGATCTGCAGAGGCACCACCTGCACAGATGTGAACCTAGCTTAAGTGTACATTAATGCAACATGCAAAAACGTGTTTTGTGATTTGATGCACTGTGATGCCATTCATTCTTAAAGGCACACCGAAACGCACCTTAAAAACAAATGTACATTGCAGCGCAGCACAATGGACAGTAATATACTACTGTGCGGTGTGCAGCATTTCATGATACAAAAATAGTACAAGCACCTTTTTTTGGTGCAGTAAGCAGGCCATTCAAATGAATAGACTGTCTGAATGCAACGCATGTAATGATCAGGATCACAAGCAGCAACACACATGCACTAACTCAGTGCAACAGTGTGAACCCAGCCTAAATCATATGAATCAGTACCCCTCTCGATTTTACACAGCTTGTTCCAACCCCTACAACTGATACCTGTGCGGGACAGCTTGGCCTGTTAAAAGAAGTGAAAAAAAAAAAACAGCTATTGCCAGGATCAATAGGTAATAATTCTATGTTGGGGGGGGGGGGGGGGGGTGTAGCTGAGAAATACGTAAACAGCTGTGTTAATGCTAATACATACTGCATCACATATGTATTTTCTGATTTTGCCCATGGTACTATTAGGCATGCTAAAGTCACCTTTCAGGCACACGTGTTATAACTTGATAGGCCACTTTAGCTTTCTCTATGAACCATGGCAGTCATTTGAATTAAACTCCATGGAGTTGATTTACTAAAGGCAAATAGATGGCTCACTTTGCAAGGGAATTTGTCCCGGACTTCCATCATTCAATCATGTGCAAGCACAAAAAGCTGTTTGTTTGTTTTTTATTTTCCTTGTACAAGATTGGGTATTCTTTGCAAAGTGAAACTTCCTTTGCAAAGTGAACAGCCTATTTGCCTTTAGTAAATCAACCTCAATATTCTTATCCCACGTCTTGGTAAGAACATCCGATTGTAATATCTACATAACAAATAATATCCATATTATGAGACATATACAAGATCTTCAGTCTCAATGGCAAATACTAAAATACAGCTCTGTAAATTGTTCAGTCCTTTTTGTGGCTGATGTGAACATGAAAATTTGCATATCAGTTAAGGACATTAATTTGTATTTCTCTGAGTGTGATATTATGGAAGCAGGTGTGGCTTCTGATCATTTACATCATGCAGTCCCTTAGATCACAGTGCGCATGTTATCAAAGCTGATTGGTGTATTGTGTTGTCTACACAATACTGCTTTGAAGGCACGGTACCAAAAATATTCATATAGTATATTGCACACATTCCAAGCAGTGTGCTCATACTTGTATATCTCAGCAGCTTGAAGGACTGGTACTTCCATTGCACAATGACTCACCAGCATCACAGTAAGGGAAGTCTTCTACCTTTGAGGCCCTATCAACAAATATTTCTGCAACAGCAGTACATTGCATATAATAAACAGGTTCAAAAGATCATCCTGCATTTATAGTGGTTTTAAAGTGTTGGGTGGAGAGTTTCGGTGCATCACATTTGTGACTGGTTTCCGTTTGCACGCTTTAAATTTTAAAAGATCATGTTGACTTTGGAATCACCATCAGCATACCATACCATAATCATCCATGTCCGTCACATGCATTATCGTAAGCCTCTGACACATTGGAAGGGATCTGCATGTGGACTTTACAGGCAGATACTGAAGTCCCAGTCTTGTGTTCACAAGGAACTAAACTACTTTCCTAAGAGTTCTACAAGATCCCCTGAGAAACTCAGAGTGGTACAGTATACAGAGAGGAGCAGAGTTGTCCCAGGCATTTCCTGATTGTTAATCATGTTTTTTATTGTTCTCTGTGGTTTGAAGGGAGGATAAAAAGTCCATCATGAGCTTGGCTGTTTTTCTGGGTCTTTCCATCACTACTGAGTGACCACAGTTCTCTAGGATCTCCACCTGGCTTCCAGGTATGGCACTGGACAAGACTTCTGCTCCAGAAACATCCAAGACCTGTGACAGAGGAATAATGAATGAAACATATTAAAGATGCAGGGAAATCCATAAACTGGAAGCGGTGGTTAGCTTATGCACTGGTTATAGAACGTAGAACTAGTTTGGGATGCTTTGGAGTTTGGGAACATTGTTGGACATTCTAAAATTACTGTTAGTTTAGGAAGCTTTAGAGTTTGGGGGCATTGTTGAACATTATAAAATAGAATTTTACCCTGCGACATGATCTAACATGCTGTACACCCAGGTATGAAACAAAACTCACTTAAAGTGTTACTAAACCCGTAACAGTAAAATCAGTCTGTATATGCAGTAAAGCATGCGTGTTATATTCACTGTGGAACCTAAGGGGCTAATAATCTACATTGTGTAAAAAGGCTGTTTGATCCTGTATTCTCTGTTCCTCCCCTTCTTCAACTGTCCCCAATCCATGTGCTGATGGTACAGAGCCCTAGGAGTCACTCTGCACATGCTCAGTTTAGTGTGTATTGCAAGAGAGTTTTTTTCTTTGGGAGGGTGTATGTGATCGGCAAGGGGCCAATCAGCACTGTCCAGACAGAGGGTTAGGGGTTATGCAGCCTCATAGGACAGTCAGAGGAGAATGAAAAGTCCTCCTTCAAGCTCTAACCAGTGCTCAACTAGGCACTGATAGAAGTCACAAGACTGCTATATACTGCTGATGAGAAAAGGTATTTAGTAGTTTATATTTACTAAAATAATAACATTTCCATGTTCTGTGTTCTGTGGGAGACCAGATATAGTGAATTCAGGGTCCTGGATTTAGGAACACTTTTAACTATGTTTCTATATACTATACATATGTCACAAATAGAGCAAAGAGACCCACCTGGTCCTGTCGACCCCAGATGATCTGGGTGGGAACTGTAATTTTGTCCATGCTTTTTTGAAGAATGTGACGTGATTTTTCAGCAACCAAATCTAAAAACACTGAACAAAATATTGCTTGTTAGTTGTCACCATTATCAACTCAACAACAATATGCTCACAATTAAAACATAGCTAAACTCAAACACAAAAATGTAATAATTAGCAGCTTACTAAACCTTAGATGGTGGCTGCGATAGTTTCCTTTTTTCAAGATTTTTTTAACTTTATTTTTATATGGTATTCGTGCAAATAGCACAGTCCTATCCCTGAGTGGGGTGATGGGATTAGTAGTTTACATTAGTAGTTTACATATGAAAGATAGCATTTTTCTTGGTCTTTGTCGAAGTACTGGTAAACTGTAAAATATTACATTTTTGTTCTTAGTTATGATTTAAATGGGGCCTTTTGTAGAGTAAAGCTGGATATACACTATTGGAAAAAGCTGATACAGTCTCCACTGTATACAGTGCAGATGGAGGAATCTTCATCATCTAATTGGATGTGGGCGCTGATTGGCCAACAATTTTCCACTCTATTCTATTTTATTTTCAGCTCTCTCCCTTTTTTTATGTACTCTTAAAAGTATCAATGTCCTCATGCTTCACTATGGGATCCCCCCCCCCCCCCCCCCTTTTTTTCCCTTTTTCTTTTATACGTCATGGATTTTGTGGACAACCTTTCTAATCTTTTTTTTTTATGTTTTTGTGACTCTAATGTGTAATATATGTAAAATGATTTGATATAATTTTTTGCAGTCATATTATTCAGACTTCTGATTGGATTAATATGAATAAGCCCATATTTTAGTGCCTATCCCAAAGAAGCAACCACATATAACGAAACATGTTGAGTTTAAGCACTGTGTAAATCTGTAAGATTGTGGACTAGCGTAAAGCGGGCCATAGATGGATCAAAATTCAACTGGTTCAGCAGGGACCTGACAAATTTTGATTCATCTATGGGCAGGTTGCTGTACAGAAGCCTGTCTCTCAATGAACTTCTTTTGGAAGCCTGTTGACAAATTGTTGCTTGATCAGTGTTGCTGGCTATCGCCAGAGGTCCTGATGAGTGTATTCTGATGGTGCGGATGCCTTTGTGGATGGGGGAATTGATTTATTTTCTTTTGTTTAACCCGCTGATAGAACGAAAGAAAATGTATGCATGGCCAGCCTTATTTATTTTAGATGAAGTCTGTTTACTATATATATATATATATATGTTAATTGCATTCATTGTTTACATACAATAATATATGTTTTTATTCTTTATAAATCACTGTGTTTGCGGAAAATAAAACCTTCCCTGGAGGTAAAAAGTAGCAACGTCTTTAGACCTTATTCAAACAGGCTGTTAATATGGGCGCTTCTGGTGCATTTTTCCGTTCCCCCAAAAGCCTAACAAGGCAGCAAGAGGGGATCATACACACTATTTAACTTGGCTTGTTGTATTGGCAGGTGGTGCTGCCTGTCAAACCTGTCCATTAAAGTTCATGGGACAGTGCTGCACCTGCAAGTCAAATAATGCTTGGCTTGTAGTTCTGGTGTGTTCGTTCCATGCAAAATTGACATTTGGCAAAAAAAAAAAAAAAAAAAAAAAAAAAAAAAAAAAAAAAAAAGGCATTCAGGACTGTACATATTTATCCAATATGGATCACTTTTTAAAGACTGCTGCCATGTGAACCTAGCCGAATACAGTAATTTTCTAATCTCTTACAGCAGATAGACTGTCACTTACACGTTCTGTAAAATTCATTATGAGGAATGCGAACATCAACGAGTCCTTGAAGCACCTAGGAATAAAAATGTTTCAATTGGATTAAACATTAAGGATGTGTTACTAATTCAACTTAGAAATAATTAAGTGCAGACTGGTTTCATGGCTTTCCTCTGCAGTTTTTCTCTTTTTACAACACTGGGGCTATGAATGTAGCAGACAGACACTCTCATAGCACTTCCTTGTAGTTGAACTAGGACCTTTCATTAAAGAATATAAATCACAGCAATTAATTATACTGTATGTGCATTCTTAGATTGTAAGCTCCAAGGATCAGGGCCCTCCTAACTCTCTTGTATTGAACTGTATTGTCTCCCGTTATATTGTAAAGCGCTGAGCAAACTGTTGGCGCTATATAATTCCTGTATAATAATCTGTATCTGCACTTACAGTTTTCTCTCAGTCCCCCTGCAAGGGCCCACAAATACCTGTTGAACCTACCAGTGAAATCAGCCAATGCAGCTTCCTGTGATGGTGTGGCAATGATGCTGCATTGCTCCTGAAATCAGGGCTGCTGAGTTGCCACTCTCAGGTAGGCTGTGCCACCTTGCACTACAGTGGGTTGAAAAAAATGTTATAGACAGAGGGTCAGGGGTTATGCAGCCTCATAGGACAGTCCGAGCAGAATGAAAACTCGTTCTACAAGCTTTAACCAGTGCTCAGCTAGACACTGATAAAAGTCACAAGACTGCTATATACTGCTGATGAGAAAAGGTATTTATCAGTTTATATTTACTTAAATCATTGCATTTCCATGTTGTGTGTACTGTCGGAGACCAGATATAGTGAATGCAGGGTCATGGGTTAAGCAACGCTTTAAATTACAAGTAAAAAATTAAAGATTTGCCATCTTAAAGGAAAAGGTTAATTGTGCCTAAGCAGCACTTAGAAAATACTACCATTTTTAATTCCTTCTCCAAAATAGTGCACATCCTGACATGTGACTCTGCCTAGGCACTGCTGGATCTACAGCCTCATTGTTGCACATATGTGAGAATATTTAAGGTATATCCTACCCACACCTGCCTCTAATGACTGATCTAGTAATTATATTTGAATTGAGTTTGGTGATGTCACTACTGCTCCCTCATTGTTCACCTGATGGCCTACTGGAGAGAAAGCTGTAGGAAACCAGAGGATCTACAGTGCAAGGATCTCCCTGCTTCTGCTTCCCTCATTCTGCTGATCTGTGCTTCCTCCACCTCTGTTGCTGCTTCCTGAATATCCCCATCCCACACCAGTCATAAGATCACAGCCCTCAAAATGGCGGGAAACAAAGCCCTGTTCTACTACCAATTGCCCCCTCCAACAAGACACAAGAGAAAAAGGTATGGTAACACAGCCCTGGGAAAATTATCATCTTTTTTGTGCACAAAAAAGGATTAGGATGGATTAGAACTTTTGGCAAAATTGGAATAAGGATTAGGTAAAGGTTTAGATTTTCAGATGAAAACGTAGGTTAGGTCAATTGCTGAAGATTATAGATCACAACGAGGTTTGGGGTAAAATCACATGCATCATAAGCAGTAGTGCCAAATATATAGTGGCAAGGTACAGTTTATTTGTACAAAGATTTCAGGAGACGGAAATGTTTGCAAGGACTGCCAATGCTCCCCAGCAAAATTAACTGCATCTGTTTTAAGAAGCTAAAAATCAAAGCACATATGAAAACCACCAAACCCTTCAGTCATCTTTTTCACATACTGTCTAACTCAGTTGTTCTCAACCACAGGACATGGCTGCGGCCCACTGCTGGGCCCTTCCTTCCTTTCTCCCAAGCCTCCAGTCAGCTTTGGATCCCTTAACCTCCTACAGTGCCTCCCAGCTTCCATAGTGCCACCTAACTGCCCATAGTGGCCCACAGTGCCTTCAAGCCTACTATGAGCCCTCAGCCTCCACAGTGCCCCCCAACCTCCCACAGTGCCAACTAGCCTCCCACAGTGCCCACAGCCTGCTGTAGAGCTTCCAGACCTTCAGAGTGCCCTCATACCACATCAGTGTCCCACAGTGCCCCCAGCTTCCTCCCGAAACCTCATCCCCATCACGGCCACCAAGTCTGCTGAAGAGTCCCCCTACCAACTCCAGAATTCCCATCCACAGTGACAACCAGCCCCATCCAGACCCTTCCAGACTTTCAATACATGTTTTGTATTCCCAGTCATAGTTTTGGCTACATTTACTGGGCCCTGATCTCAAGGTTAAGAACCACTGGACTAACCTATAATGAAACTCCTAGTGTCTGATGCAGTGGATCAAGTATATAACAATGATGTTTACCCAGAAGCCTCTTCCTCAGGGGTACAAACCTAGGTAACATTATTGGACAAACTGTCTGTCTCTCCTAAATACTTGATAGAGGGCATTTTGTAGGAAGCTTTGAAATAAACACAGTGAGTTAACTCTGGAATTGCTGGAATGCTAGCCTTGAAACAAAATCCTTCACCTTTATTTTAGTCTCTTTGTGTACATCTGATATTGTTCCCCTATAATTGGTGGATAGATCTACACACTTGCGCGCAGCAATACATCCTATTATCCTGTGATCTTCACATTTTCTCAGCTGGATTAATTTCTTGGAAATATTCTCTTTTTATCTCACAACAATTAAGGTTATTTTCTGAGGGCTACAGATAATGCCATTGGCTTTTCATGGTTTAATAATATATGTATTTATTTCTGAATGCCAATAATATGTCTATTGTTGACTACAATACCCACATATTTTCTATGTGCCCTAGTGATGACTGGCATTCTTCCAATTTGAAAAATGTCAAATCACTGCTCTAGTGTGAATGGGCCCTAATATCATGGGAAACTGCTTGCTATGTATCTGTGCAAAATAAAAGTCCTGCTTTTAAGCAGACAAGTTTAACATAATTCAATGTTCCTTTAAAAGAAATCCAGGGCTACTTTGCCATCCTCACAACTCATCCCTGCACCAGGCATCAGTGACATATTTGGAGGTATTCAAATTAGAGCAAACAGCTACAGGTGTACAACTATACTTCTGGAGCTGGAAATTAAGGCATGGAGGTTCCATTGTTGTAATATTCAAAACATATCGCCATCAGGTTCTGGCCCTAACTAAAATACATATGTAGTGCCCCCTATGGGTGCTAGAGAATTAAATTCAGTTTGGCTCACAGTAGTGAAGTAAGCAAGTCTGATTGTGTTACTTTAGGTCAGGCTAGAGGACTCTACTGGTCAGGTCTCTAGTACATCCCCAAGGTTCTGGAGTCTTCCAGGATATTCTTCAAGCTACTGGGCGGAGGGGTGGAGACTGAGATCTGCATATCCATGGGAGTCTGGCCAACCCCAGGCAGGAGGCCTGGCAGTGTGTGGCAGACAGACCCATAAGTATGGAAGAGCCTTGCTAGCAGCAGGAGTCTGGGAGTTGGATGAAAGATGGATTGTTGAGATGCTTTCGTATAGCCTGGGAAGGGACTACAGGGAACTGGGACCTGCACCACAAGTCCTATCCAGAGGGTACCTTGTTCACATGTAGGACTAGCACAGTTACAAGGCCTGAACAAGCAGTCTTATGCAAAACCATAGGATACAGGGAGAGGGCTGCCAGGTGCCATACATGGAATTCCTTGCTCTGAGATACTCTTCAAGGCAGCCAGGTGGGTGGGTAGTTTCCAGCTGGGGTCTGAAGAGATTTACTTAAAGGGAACCAAGTGCTCCTTTAAAGAGACTTTGTAACTGATCCATTAAGAGACAAAAGTCACTTTGGAGGGAGTAGAGTCCAGGATCCATCCTTTTTGTACATAAAATAGGAAGTTTGTCATCAGAGTTGCTGTTTTTAAGTCAAATTTGGCGTCCCATATACCAGGGCCCAAAATTATCACTCACCTGCTCGCATTTGGCAAGTGAAAATAATGTGGGGCGAGTGTGTCCACTTAGGGCACCAGGATAGGAGCGGCTGCTGACATTCCTCCGGTGCCTCTTCCTCCCCCAATGTTTTGCTCTCTCTCCCTTCTCCCCCACAACTCCGCCTAAGCCCTCCATCTGCTTGTATTTCCTGCATGTCGGTACGGGACTCAATGCTCTTGTGGGTTCCTGATTGTGCACTGGCTGTGTGGCGGCTCCCTGCGGGAAAAGAGTGCTCTCCCCCGCCTAGGGACTTCACTCCTCTGAGACTCTGCTCCATCCCCAGCCCAGTCTTGTTTTATTATGTCTCCCCCCAGCAGCAAGAGCAGGAGAGGAGAAAGCCAAGACAAAGAGCTGCCAGCTGGATGTGTAATAATGGGCTGGCAAGGTAGCAAACAGGAATACAACTGAGCCTGCAGATCAGAATCGTCCCTCATGTAAGTGGATGCTTACCATTTGGAGACACCTGATGTAAAGGGGGGCTCTGATGGGACACCCAATGTAAAGAGGGACTCTGATGGGGACACCCGATGTAAAGGGGGACTCTGATGGGGACACCCGATGTAAAGGGGGACACCTGATGTAAAGGAGGACACTGATAGGGACACCTGATGTAACGGGGGGCTCTGATGGGGACACCCGATGTAAAGGGGGGGAGACTCTGATGGGGACACCTATGTAAAGGGGGACACCTATTTTTGTACCTTAATTCTGCATAAAACATTTAACAGTGTAATTTCATGAGATAATTTATGGGGGCATGTTTAGGGACGGAATTAGGAGCGGGGCAAGGTAGGGGTTTGGTAAGGCAACTGGTGGCGAGTAACTCTTAAGGCCTGGCTAGTAGTTTTGAGCCCTGCCATATACCCCTAGACATTATCCAAGTTGTTTACGTGAAATAAAACAACAAAAAACAAGCCCAAAGGACTAGATACTGACTCTGAATGGAAGTTGAAAAATGTGTTTTGCCTAGCTGTGCAGCTATAGGGGACCAGAAAACTCAGTGGCTCCTTATGGGGTAGTGCCACACATATCACTGATGTGGATTATACCTTCAAAGTGGAACTAGACTCTCTCAATCCACATGAACTATTTTTAATCCTTTTTTTCTGCTAGCAATAGTAAATAGATAGGAAGGTATATCATGTTTACTCATTTTAAAACTTTTTTTTTTAACGTCGTCTTCAGTTGCTTCCTGGTTCCTGGCCTAGGCAAAAATCATTTCATGAATCCCAAGAGTCTTCATTGCCATTATATTATTCATCTGGAGGAGGGAAGCAATGAATTTCTCAACTAAGCACACCCTCCTGAATTCACACCTGAGCAAAGGATTCCAAGAACTAAATGCTGCTCCATGAATCATCTGCCCTTACTGATGATAGCTACAGCTAGAAATGCTGGGGGGTATTTTTCAGAGCAATTTCTCAACAAAATAAAGCATGGAGACATAGTTGGATGGGTGTTGTTTGCTTTTTATATGAATATTAATTAATTATAGGTCAAGTTTTTAGGGTGGAACATGTAGAACGTTCCATCTCCTGCACCTTCTTTCCCCCGATCCTCTCCCTCCATGTGTGACATCAGACAGAGGATCCACTCCCTGCACCTGCTGTCACTTTTTAAATGTAGCACGGCTGTGCAGGGCTGCGCTCACACAACCATATCATTCATTCACAGTTTCCTGTGACTGAATAAACTACAAGTACTGTCACCCACTGTGGCAGACATCTTTGCAGTTTAAATGAACTGTGTGCTTGCTGATCAGCATGCCCATAGTTCATTCACACTGCATACAGAGGTACGGGCAACAGAGCTGCACAGTGTGTGCAGCAGCCTGGCACGGCACCTGCGATCAGCTCCCAGTTTTATAAACCATGTCCCATTTAAAAAAAAAATAATGCACATTTTTTACCTGCAAAAAAAATTTGCATTTATTATTTTTTATGTAAAGGTGAACTTAGCCTTTAAAAAACATTTTCAGTTTAAGTTCTGCTTTAGGTTCGGAATTATGACAGGGAAGTTTCACTGCTGGAGTATCATTTTCATGCATTTTAGAAAAGAGTGGCTCATTGGGTCCAGCCCTAACCAAAATATCACATTTCAGTGGAATGGCCCTTTAAATGTTACTAAACCCAGGACCCCGCATTCACTATTTCTGGTCTCCCACAGTACACAGAACATGGAAGTGCAATTATTTATTTTAGTAAATATAAACTGCTAAATACCTTTTCTCATCAGCAGTTAGAGCAAACTTCTAGCAGTGTCCAGCCGAACACATGTTAAAGCTTGTAGTTTTCATTTTGCTCTAGGAGGATGCAGAACTCCTGACCTCTGTCTGGACAGTGTTGATTGGCCCTGTGCTGATCACATGCACTCTCAAAAGAAAAAATAAAAACCTCTCTAGCAATACGCACCAAACTGAACATGTGCAGAGTGTCTCCACACCATATGTCTTATCAGGAGATAAGAGGGGGAGACTGGAAGAAGGGGAGGATCAAGGGGAGGATCAAAGTCAGGATCAAACAGCGTTTTTTTATAATGCAGAGGATTAACCCCTTAGGTTCCACAGTGAGTATAACAAGCATGCTTTACTGCATATACAGACTGATTTTACTGTTGTGGGTTTAGTAACACTAAATGTAAAAGGTGTAACTTCTATGTTTCCTATAGGAATTTCCCATACAGAAAAGTTCCAGATAAGGAAATGACCAGGTTTCCTAGATACAGTGTGCCTCCTTTCTACTCAGATAGACCAGAGTTATGTATTATGGCTGAGGCACTAGCTGAGAGCCCCCAGACGCACACATGGTTCTCACTGTCAATCCCTGCTACCCACTGCCATCTGTGCAGACCAGGCTGAAAATAGCTCAGATTATGCTGTATTATGAAATGAACATTAGCTCTCGGTCTACCCATACGAAGAGAGATTTTTTATCAGCAGCAGATCTGAAAAAAACGTCACGTGGTCAAATCTAACAAACAACAGCGTTTCCTGGACTGTCATAAATAAAAATGATGCTTGAAAAACTTTCTTGCCACCAGGTGCTTTGATGGGTCTCATTTATCAATATGTCTGTTATGTCTGGGGAACAACTAATCAGATTCAAACCAGGAACATTACATTTGGACAGTGGATGGTTCAATTACTGTCTCTGGGCAATACATAAAGTTCTCATTGCAAAGTCTATTAGGGGAATTCATAAAAGTGTCTAAGGTGTTCTTTAAAATTCTGATGTGACTCCACACAAATGTTGGTGCGGGCAACAGATTCATGTAGCTATTGTAAACAGGTTCTCCTGTACTGAGAATTACTTATTCTGATTTTACTGCACACTGTGAGCTTTCCACATGTGCACTAGAAGCTGCAGCAAGTCGTATCAAGTCAGCTTCATTTTCTGGCTGGAGGACATCAAGCATCACCTAGCACTTTTTTTTTCCTCAGCCTGCCTGTCCTTAGCCCACCCCTTATTGGATTTCAAGTTTTTCAGTCAATGAGGCTCAGCATCACATGCAGGCATTAGCACCGCTTCCTGTTTTCAGGAAGCTATGCCTGCACCCTGTCAGCCCCTCCCACCTGTCATGATCTGCCAGATTGCATAGAGATACACAGAGACCAGTCATGTCACTGGGTCTAAAATAAGATATGTAATGAAAACAGAAATGTTTTATTTAAAAGAGTTTCTTAACCCCTTCACGCCTAAGGGTAAAACAAATCTAAATGCCTAAGCACAATTTTGCAACGTTGACATGTGTTAGTAAAGCTGTACATATCATCACAACTACTTTGTACATCCAGGTGAATTATACCTTGTTTTTTTCAGGACAAATTGGGCTTTCATTTGGTGGTAAATGGTAATGGAGATCTCCTGATTTTTTTTTTATTATCAAAGGAAAACTGGCCCAAAATAGTAAAAAAAAAAAAAATACTTTTTTTTTATTTAGCAGTGTGTTTCTTGCTACTACCATAACCTACCACCAAAGAACAACCCAAAAGAAATTCTCCAGCTCTTGACGATCGCAGCGATACCATATATGTGTTTGTTATTTGTTGTTTGTAGCCGTAGTACAGCCAAGAAACAATAGCGCACATTTTGTTTTTGTCTTTTTTTTTTTTTTTACCTAAAACACACAGACACTGACATTAACACTAATCCTGACCTTTGACCCTGACCTTGACCCAAACACTAACCCTGGCACTGAACTAGATCAAACCTTGATCTAGGTATTTTTTCTTTTATTTTTTAATATTTATTTATATTTTTTTTTATTTTACAAACATTTTTTTCCCTCTATGCCAGGAGTTAGAGATACAATGTATCTCTATCCTCCATTCATAGAGAGAGAAAAAACAAGGGGGCCGTGCTGTACAGTGACTGATCACTGTGATAGCCAATCAGAGGCTATCACAGCGATCATGTGACCCAGAATCGAGAGTCCCGAGTCCCGATCATTAGAATGGGACCCGGTGCTCTCAGTGCGGTGCGCGCTCTCAGCACAAAGACAGGTGTGCAAATATGCGACCCCACCCTAAAAAGCCCAGTTCTGTGAGGCCACATATTTGTGTTACGTCGGTGCAAAATGGTGCAAATAAAAATGTTGCTGAGGGGGGAAAAGGAGGTGCCAGAAAAGGCCAAAACTACTAGATTAAACTTCAGCTTTAAAGTGATTGTAAAGGCTGAAGTTTTTTTTTACCTGAAGGTTTTTCGTGCAGCCCCCCCCCCCCCCCCCCCCCCCCCCCCCAGCCCTCTCAATACTTACCTGAGCCTTGCAATCCAGCAATGTGAATGACAGCCTCGGCTGTCCTGAGTCTCTGCCTCCTTATTGGCTGAGACAGCAAGCGGGAGCCATTGGCTCCTGTTGCTGTCAATCACGGCAAGTCAGCCAATGAGGAGAGGGTAGCTCCGTGTGTGATTGGACACACGGAGCAGCGGGTGTCCCCATAGCAAGCTGCTTGCTGTGGGGGCACCGACAGACAGGAGGAGCCATGAGAGCCTGTAGGGGACCCAAGATGAGGAGGATCCAGGCTGCTGTGTGCAAAACCACTGCACACAGCAGGTAAGTACAGACATGTTTGTTATTTTACAAAAAAAAAAAAACCCTTTAGAATTGCTTTAAATATTGTACTCAATAGTCACAAAGAATATAAATGCACTTTGTGTTCCTCAAATGCTTTTGCAAACCCAGTTATTACCTTATTAAAAGTAGCAGTGTCATCACTGCTGTGCTGTACGTGTGCAGGAGGGACCCAATAGACCTGATCACTTGTGTTTAGACAATATTTGCTTATCCCAAAGTTGCGTCTGTTTAGAATAAAAAACTGTCTTGTCTACAGTGATAAATCTGAATTTGTAAATCTGTCTCAGATGTTTTCCCAGTTTCATTGGTGCAGTGGAGGTCCGCAAATAAAACTATTGCACAGGCTAAATGAGAGGCAACCTGATCTGAGTCTATACGGGCTATACGGGCACAGTGGCTAAATGGTTAGCACTTCCTCCTGGCAGTACTAGGGTCAATGGTTCAAATCCCAGCCACGGCACCACCTGCCTGGAGTTTGCATGTTCTCCCTGTGCCTGCGTGGGTTTCCTCCGGGTACTCCGGTTTCCTCCCACACTCCAAAAGACATGCTGGTAGGTTAATTGGCTCCTGTCTAAATTGGCCCTAATATGTGTATGTATGAATGTAAGTTAGGGACCTTAGATTGTACACCCCTTGAGGGTTAGGGACTGATGTGAATGTACAATATTTGTATGTAAAGCGCTGTGTAAATTGACGGCGCTATATAAGTACCTGAAATAAATAAATAAATATTATATGTGTCACCAATTTACTCAATAAATGTCCCCCAGTTCTGTGTAGTCAGCACCATTTACCTGCTGTGGAATCTTAAAGCGGACATACGAGCACAGTTTCATCATCTGCTCCATCTCTTCTGCAGTGGATGGAATGAGGGGATTTTTTTTGGATTTTCTTCTCCAGATTCTTTTAAGTCCTGTAGCTGTTTCAGGAATTTGCTTTCTGTCGGATACTGTAGACCTAATCATTGAGAATTAAAAAAGACAAGAAAAATAAACAAGAAATGGCCACATTTCAATACATGTATGGCAATTCCTGTTCAGGAGAAGTCGATCTATCGATTGACTTTTCATAAACGAGATTGTTGGAAATTCCCTGCTTGATCAGCCATGCTGCCAATGGGCTGCAGCACTGATCAGTGTATTCTGATGAAGGGAGAGTCAGCTGTCAGATTACAAAGACACAAGGGGAGGATTTTTCCATTCACCTCGACTGTGTGGATGGGGAAACCAGCTCAGTTTTTTTCTGAGTAATGAATGGCCAGCCTTAGATAGCCTTTTATTTCATCAGGTTCGGTCAGCACCAACTCGCAGAGATTCATTACCCCGCGGAGTAATAAAAACCAAAAAACTGTCATATACAGTATTGACTTTTTTTGGTTAAACGTGCATTAATTTGACTAATATTGGCTTACTTGGGGGTTAAAGTGACACCATCAGCACAGACTCACTTATATAGAATTACATACCTGCTGAAGGAAATCACTGTACTTTGGGTAGACCCATTTGTTGAAAAGCCGTTTCTATGCTAGTTACTTGGCACTGCAGGTATTTGACCGGTCAGATGGGTGGAATACCTGGTTCCCCACAAGCTGTGGTTCTTCCTGTCAACTCATATGTCCTGTAGTGATGTATGAGACGACGGGAAATCCACAGCATGCGGTCAGGGAACAGGTATTTCACACACCTGGAACTGGCAGCGTTTTAACAAATGGGCCACTGAAAAGGTATAGTGACTCTTGTATTAACATGCTTGTTTAGAATTCTATAAAATGAGTCCTGTGTCGACAAGGTCACTTTAAAGAATAATTTGAAAAGCAGATTTACAGGTAGATATATAAAAACCTCATAATAAATCAATTCTGCAGTCATTAAAAAATCCTTAAAGCTGAACTTCAGCCGGCTTCCAAAAAAAAAAAAAAAAAAAAAAAAAAAAAACACTCGATATTGCCTCTTCCCAGTCCCCCATTCCCCACACACACTCCTTGCTCATAAGCATTCTGTAGCTCATTTTCAAATATAAATAAAGTTTATAACACAAGCTATGGACACGGGATGCATAGGTGTTCTGTCCATCTGTATGCAGGCAGCCCAATTTATGGGCAGCACAGTGGCTAAATGGTTAATGTGACGGGCGCGGCGTCAGACCCCCAGCCCTTCTCACCAACTTGTGACTGAAGGACTAGCCAATCTAAAACCGCGCTGTCACGTGCGTAACAATGCCACGCTCAGCTACAACCTGCACAAAGATTTTCCAGCTCACTGGACCACAATCCATGTGCCGCCTGAGAGCGATTGTTACTGGGTCAGGTTAATTACGCAATTAATCCTTCACACTGCCACCCAAACCGCCTTTTTGTACAGAGTAGGAGGAAACTGGCCAATCTTAGTAGTAACACTATGATGTTTGAATAAGCATCTGTATACACACTGCCACCGCAGGCAGATGTATGCAGAAGTTTAAATCACACAGTAGCGCTCTTCAGAGACAGGGATTCTTGGTTTGCATTAAAGAGCTTTAGAAACAGTTAAACACTTTTCAGAAAATAGGATTTATTACTAAAAAGGTCAAAATGGTGCAATAAAAATATTTACAGAAAAAGCTGTATATATATATATATATATATATATATATATATATATATATATATATATATATATATATATATATATATATATATATATATATATACAGAGAGCAATAACACAGCAGAGAAGTTTAGAGAGGTAGAATACTTGCCAGACTAATGGGTTTCAGCAGATTCAAGGGTCCTGAGCAAGAGGGTACCGTTTCTCCCAAAGTTGGTTCCTGATGTGAAGAAATCTCTCATCTTTTTCCCCAGGCATACCAGCCTTTTTCTAGGAACCCAGCAGGGTGTCCTTAAAGCAGAGAACCAATTGCCTCATTTGGGGAGGGGTGTTTAGGCGGGGAACTCAGGCTATGACCAAATCCCTCTCAGTTTATATCATGGTCAATAACCTTCTATAGGTGCATGCAGCAGCCTAGCCACTGGCAAGATAATATTCAGAATGATATTCTGAACGTCCAGACACCAGATATGACATATCTGGCTGTGACGGTTAAAGAGATATAGCTTTCTGCTCCCGGGTAGACGAAATCTAGGGGTGTAAGGTATCAGGTGACTTGACCTCTCTGAATATATGCTTTGTATTCTTGTACGTATTTCTTACGAGAAATTATGAAAGTGTATGGTCTCCAAATGAGATGTTTTACTGCTATCCCGGAATGCTTTTGAAGTCCAGTGACTGACGGGTTTATAGCTTTACGATCAGCTTCAGAGCAAGGAGTGGGACAGACACCCTGGCATCAGCTAATTGGGTTTACAACCATGAAGGGTATCCAGCTGTGCCCTGTGCACTCCTGAACTCAGCCACACCAGACCACCTGCCACTCAACAGAAAGGGAGGGGGCTGGTTTTGTAGTGAGAATGACACAAGATGGAGGATCTTTAGCAACATGGACGTCCGCGTCCATATTTGTGCGCACGATTGCTACAGTTAGCACTTCCGCCTGGCAGTACTAAGGTCATTGGTTTGAATCCCAACCATGTCACCACCTGCCTGGAGTTTGCATGTTCTCCCTGTGCCTGCGTGGGTTTCTTTCGGGTACTCCGGTTTCCTCCTACACTCCAAAGACATCCTGGCAGGTTAATTGGATCCTGTCTAAATTTTCCCTAGTATGTGTATGAATGAATGTAAGTTAGGGACCTTAGACTGTACACCCCTTGAGGGTTAGGGACTGATGTGAATGTACAACATATATGTAAAGCGCTGCATAAATTGACGGCGCTATCCAAGTATCTGAAATAAATAAATAAAATAATATCTATTGGGATGCAGTGGCTGCCTGGACACAGCCACTAATACCTATTGTACATCAGTGTGGGTGCTGGTGCATTTGGGTGTGTGTCCCTGAACTCACACTGTCTGCATTCTGGGATACACATCTGCACCCGCATGGATGTCAAATTGGGCGCAGTGGCTGTGTCTGTTCAGCTGCTGCATCCCAGTTGACATGAAAGGGACTGCCTGCATGCAGATGCACAGTCCTGTGCAGGCAAACACACCCCTTTGCTTGGCTGCATGCTTAAGTACATAAGAAAGTCCTTTTCGTGTCACAGTGCTCTGATCTACAGAGTTGAAATGCTGGTACCTCTAGGATTTGGGTGGTGAATAGTGAAGGTAAAGTAAAGGCATCAGAAAGCAAGCAGTGAGATAACATTTAGGAACAAGTGGTGGTATATATAATCATTTTTATGCCTATGAGGATCTGTAAAAACATAATTAACAGTTTTTGTAATATAGCTACACTATTTTTTTTTGTTGGGGGGGGGGGGGGGATTTAAAAATTATATATTTATTTCATAATTTAGAAAAACAACTTGAAATGCTAAATAATTTATGAAATACTTATACTTTTCTATTAAGTACACCCTGTTATTTTTATTAACATGTGCCTACAAAGTCGACAATAGCCTGTCAGCCTGTAGGTCATATACGTATCTGACATTCCAATTGATACTTTACATAATAACATGATTAAGGGTTACATTCATACATCACAGGAAAGCACAACTGATCCAGCCCAGAAGTGGTAAACATGTGATTATTGGGACTTACCTGCAGGACAAATTAGAGTCAAACTGCCAATGTCTTTTGGATACTGAGCAGCGTATACCCCGGCCACACTACCACCCATCGATGTACCAACAAGATGGAAAGGCCTCTTGTTCAGGTTTATGCTCTCAACAAACTGTCAAGGAAGAAAACGTGTTATCCTAAATATGACACATTAGCTTAATGCAAATCGGTTTTGCCGGTAGTTTTCTGGGGGAGGCTCCGACACCACAGAACAACACAATTGTAAGTAGCAGCAGTTGAAGAACATGGATGAGACTCTATAAGAGGCAGACAAATGGTACAGGTAGAAAAGAGGAGTAGCCAAACACAGAACACGGGGGAGAAGAGATAGAAGGCAGAGTAGGAGCTGATCTTTAACCAGGAGGAAAGATGAAGAGGAAGAGAAAGAGCTTATCATAGATTGGAGACTAAAGAGAGGAGGAAGAGTGGGAGCTTATTGGGAACAGTGGGAAAGAGAGAGGAGCAGAGTGGGAACTTATTGTGGACAGTGGGAAAGAGAGAGGAGGCAGAGTGGGAGCTTATTGAGGATAGCAGGAAAGAGAGAGGAGGCAGAGTGGGAGCTTATTGTGGACAGTGGGAAAGAGAGAGAGAGGAGGCAGAGTGGAAACTTATTGTGGACAGTGGGAAAGAGAGAGGAGGCAGAGTGGGAGCTTATTGTGGATGGCAGGAAAGAGAGAGGAGGCAGAGTGGGAGCTTAATGAGGATGGCAGGAAAGAGAGAGGAGGCAGAGTGGGAGCTTAATGAGGATGGCAGGAAAGAGAGAGGAGGCAGAGTTAGAGCTTACTGAGGATGGCAGGAAAGAGAGAGGAGGCAGAGTGGGAGCTTATAGAGGATGGGAGGAAAGAGAGAGGAGGCAGAGTGGGAACGTATTGAGGAAGCAGGAAAGAGAGAGGAGGAAGAGTGGGAGCTTAAATGTGGACAGTGGGAAAGAGAGAGGAGGCAGAGTGGGAGCTTATTTTGGACAGTGGGAAAGAGAGAGGAGGCAGAGTGGGAGCTTATTTTGGACAGTGGGGAGAGAGAGAGAGGAGGCAGAGTGGGAGCTTATTGTGGACAGTGGGAAAGAGAGAGGGAGGCAGAGTGGGAGCTTATTGAGGAAGCAGAAAGAGAGAGGGGGCAGAGTGGGAGCTTATTGAGGAGAGGCAGGAGCTTAAAGAGAGAGAGAGGAGGCAGAGTGGGAGCTTACTGAGGATGGCATTGAGGAAAGAGAGAGGAGGCAGAGTGGGAGCTTACTGAGGATGGCAGGAAAGAGAGAGGAGGCAGAGTGGGAGCTTATTGAGGATGGGAGGAAAGAGAGAGGAGGCAGAGTGGGAGCTTATTGAGGAAGCAGGAAAGAGAGAAGCAGAGTGGGAGCTTATTGAGGAAGCAGGAAAGAGAGAGGAGGCAGAGTGAGAGCTTATTGTGAACAGAGGGAAAGAGAGAGGAGGCAGAGTGGGAGCTTATTGAGGATGGCTGGAGGCAGATTGGGAGCTTATTGAGGATGGCTGGAGGCAGATTGGGAGCTTATTGAGGACGGTGGAGAGGCAGAGTGGGAGCTTACTGTGGACCATGGGAATAAGAGAGGAGGCAGAGTGAGAGCTCATTATGGACTAGATAAAAATGAGAGGAGGCAGAGTAAGAGCTGAGCATGTTAAGAAGTAGGTGCTATGCCAAGAAATAATCCCCACAAAAGGTGGAATGTCGGTGCTCTGGCTCTGTGTGTTTTCCCAGCAGAGATGCAACTGAATGATTAAGATTGGTATAGCTGGCACTCTCGTCTTCCCGAATAATAAACTTTATTGAACAAGTAAAATGTGCATATAAAATGGCTTACGCATTTTGGCAATAAGCCTTAGTCATAGCCATGACTAAGGCTTATTGCCGAAGTGCGTGCGTAAGCCATTCCAGAGCCAGGAAAAAGAGGGGAGACAGAGTGGCAGCTTTTCATAGACCAGGAAGAAAGGGCAGAGGTAGGAGTAAAGAAAGGAATATGGGGAAAAAAAGAAATGAGGCAAAGTGGAAGCTGATCATGGACTTTCTGAGGAAAGCAGAGGAAACAGAGTGGGAGCTGATTATAGATTTGGGGGAAGAGGAAGGTAAAGAGCTGGAGTCAATCTTTGACTGGGGAAGACAAAGATGGAAGATGGGAGCTGATCATGGACTGGGGGGGGGGGGGGGGGGGGGGGGGGGGGGGGGGGGGGAGGGAAGGCAAAGTGGGAGCTGATCATGGATCAGGAAAAAGAAAATAGACCAAATGGGAGCAGATTATGAATCAGGAAAGAGATGAGAGAGAAGGCAGAGTGTTTGCTGCTCATGGAATAGGAGGTAAAGAAAAAAAGGCAGAGTGGGAGCTGATCAAGGCTCTTAATTTATGTTAAGTACATGTAAAAGTGCATTAAAAATGATCTGTCAGAGAGGAATAACCCATGAAGATTTTGGAAACATTTTCATTCACCATTTCCCATTGACAAACAACAATTGCTTTAAAGTGTACCTGTCAGCTTTACTTACGTTACCCATAAACAATACAGTGTGGTCGATTGTGTGAGCACTATCTAGAAGCCAAATTTTTATTCTCTTTTTGGAAGTTGGTTGCATAACATTAATCCTTGAAATCCTTTTCTAATGACCCATGCACACGATAAGAAAATTTTGTGTCAATTTCCGTACGAGGAACAATCGCCAATTATCTGATAGTTAGTATTGTGCTTTCAATAGCCAATTCCGACTTTTCGGACAACAAAAACTGAGGGTGCAAGCTATAAAACTTTTATTGTACGTAAACACAATGTCCGATTTTCATTTAATGTGTACAGTAATCATATGGAAATAATTGAATAGAAAAAAAAAATGAGCGTGATCAGAAGCAAAGAAGGACCCTACACTTCCTCTTCTACTAGTACGTAGCTACATTTGCCTACTTTTTCCTTTGTCAGGCTAGCATTTTCTCACAAGTCAATACCATTCCGACTACATCATGATTTGCGCTTTTATGAAAAATCAGACATTTGGTCGTCCAATTTTCTCATTAAGCTTTAGAACTACAGAGGGTGGTGCCCAGAGCCAGGAAAAAACACTTGGCCTGATGTTCTGAGTGATCAGATTTTGGGTTTTTTAACAAAACATGAATACTGACATTCAAAGGGATTTCATAAACATGGTAGCTAGCTGGACAAAATGAATGCCAAATGTAGGCAATAAAAGAAGTACTTCTGAGCTGTATTTTCTAAATTAAGAGGTAAATCTTGATGGCTTGGAGCATACCTTTGAATTAGTAACATTTTCAGGTAATTAGGTTACAATGGTAGTACATTCAAAGATGAAATGATAATTATGACATTAATTCACGAGGATGTGTTTTGTTAAATTCATCACAACTTTGCCTGAGCTTTTTGATTCTATTAAGTGAAAGATGAAGCAGATGGAATGTAATCATCTTAGACGTGGCATGACAGGGAAGATTTTAATCTGGGAAGAATTAGGGAGCAGTGGCAGATCTGTAGAAGAGAATGTGACGTGTTTATCAGCAAGAGCAATTTATCAGAGTGCTGTTAATGTGATTTTGTTGTTCTTCCTCACATCAGATTTACATTCACAAATACATTTATGGAACAGTTACGTAGTAGTTGTGTTGAAGCTGGCTTCAAGGTTGAGCAGAGCTTAGGGGCTCACCAGTCCTCTGTTTTTAAATATCACATCAGATGATAATATTTTAGAAAGCCACAAACTAATTCATAGCTGTGAGCACTGCTGTCATCAGGGGAGAATTCTGACCAAATAATTACATTAGTTAGGCATTGCATGTGATGATCTTCAAATGAATCCTACAAAATAAACTTCAGCTCATGTAGGGTTCAGTATGAAGTACGTTTCGCATTTCAAGCCTAAGTTTGCATCTCTTAAAGAGTAGCTCTCGTCCATGCCTTACATTTTAGTTTTAAATAGACTGAAGAAGGATTACAATCTATGTCAGATTTTTTACTGCTGTCTTCTTTCAAGTTGAAAATGGTTGTAAACCCTTACATATACCCAGAGAAGAGAATAGCCTCAGATGATACAAGATGATATGTAAGCTGTACCTGTTTATCTGCAGCCCTCTGTCTTGTACAGCCTTCTAAAGTATACACTTTACACAGAATTTCTGATTGTCAGAAGTTGGGGGGCTTTGATGTCACGCTCCACAGCACAGAGGGAACAGCTGTGGAATGGACACACCCCCCTCATCACAGTCTCATAAGGAAACATGGACAGCTGAGGCTGTCTATCACAGGCTGTGTCCTGGAGCATCCTTCCCTTCCCCCTGGATCCCTTGGAGTCGGCATCAACTGTCAGAAGTGCAGATAGCAGAGGAAGGAGAAAGGAGACAGAAATCACACTAAGTGTTTTGGATTGAGGCATGTACACACTATAGAATGGTTTGCTTTGTTCATTTTTTTATTTCGGCAGTGTACAACCACTTTTTTCTCATTATACCTTGTCTCTGGAATAGCAGTCACCAGAGAAAAGTCTTCAATAAAAACACAGAGACAGCAATATAAACCTGAGATAGGTATTAACTCTTCCTCCTTCTATCCAAAAGTAAAATAAAAGGCCTCCTACCTAGACATTTGTTCATGTGAATATTGTTGAAGGAGAAAATCATCTCATTTAATTGTTATAGTTTCAACAGAAATCACATTACTAAATAACTAGGTAACTGGCCCCAAAGTAGGCAAAAGAGGATACCCAGAACAGCATTTTGTCCTGGATAGAACTTTATGTTAGCCCATCTTAATTCACCAATCCAATCCACCGAGAATGGTAACTTTTAAACAAAGAGTGATGCATTTTCATGGACACAGATTCCCATGACAGGCCAGATAGTAGGTGTTCCTATGGAGGTGGTTCACATACATGCAATTAAACTGCACTGCGTTTTGACTGCATTTCTAAAAGGAGTCCTGTGAGAGTTTTTGGAGCGATACACTACAAACTCACAGCTCATAGAGTATAGTGACCTTCTGAGATGAGAGGAATGGGTTTTTGCATAGAAGAGGAAAACAGAGGAGGAAAACAAGAAAAAAAAATATTCTGAACCAATGGACTGCAGACATAGTACAGGAGATGACCAGAGACTGCAGACACAGTACAGGAGATGATCAGAGACTGCGGACATAGTAAAAGGAGATGACCAGAGACTGCGGACATACTACAGGAGATGACCAGAGACTGCGGACATACTACAGGAGATGACTAGAGACTGTGACATAGTAAAGGAGATGACCAGAGACTGCAGACGTACTACAGGAGATGACCAGAGAAGGACGTATACAGGAGATGACCAGAGACTGCGGACGTACTACAGGAGATGACCAGAGACTGCGGACGTACTACAGGAGATGCGGACGTACTACAGGAGATGACCAGAGATGCGGACGTACTACAGGAGATGACCAGAGACTGCGGATACTACAGGAGATGACCAGAGACTGCGGATATACTACAGGAGATGACCAGAGACTGCGGACGTACTACTACCAGAGATGATACTACAGAGATGACTGCGGACGTACTACAGGAGACATGACCAGAGACTGCGGACATAGTACAGGAGATGACGGACATAGTACAGGAGATGACCAGACTGCGGACTGCGGACCAGGAGACTGCGGATGGAGATGACCATAGACTGCGGACATAGTACAGGAGATGACCAGAGACTGCGGACATAGTACAGGAGATGACCAGAGACTGCGGACATAGTACAGGAGATGACCAGAGACTGCGGACAGTACAGGAGATGACAGGAGATGACAGGAGAGACTGCGGACACAGTACAGGAGATGACCAGAGACTGTGGATACAGTACAGGAGATGACCAGAGACTGCAGACCTTTGGGGAGGGGGGGGGGGGGGCGGGTACCCGAATTTGACAGGTACCCACTACTACTTCCGTGTAGATGTCCTCCCCCCTCCCTCCCCGTAGTATTGTGGGACATGCGATAGGTCCCTGAAGACTATGGGGCCATTCAGAAAGTGCAGCGCTTCTCACGCATGCACAGTGGGCACCCGGCTGTGAAGCGCAAGCTGTTACAGCCGGGTGCCGGCACTGAAGATGCCGGCGTGAGGGAGAGAAGACGGCCGGTGAAAGCGGAACACCACTGGACCGCGGGACAGGTAGGACCAAGGAGCGGGTTCTTCTGCACAGTAGAGCCAAGCGGCCGGCCCGGTATTCTGACACAGCAGCGGCGGGGAATACCAGGCCAGCCGCTCCATATTCGCTCCATAAGACGCACACACATTTCCCCCCATTTTTGAGGGGGAAAAAGTGCGTCTTGTGGAGCGAAAAATACGGTATGTGTTTTGGGTACAATGGCCTTTTTACTTTCAAGATGAACAGTAAAATATAATCTCAGAATATAAGAATGTTCCAAAATCTTATAACCTAAAACAACATGAAACACCCCCTCCATCCACCCCAATCATTATTAGTTAATTCACCCTATTCCATTTACAGACATAACATAGTATAAGCAAGTACCTGGTGTATCCGGTTCACCTGTCCGATGACTGAGTAGTCATCGAAGGGTGAGCGCGTGGTACCTTCATGACCGGGTAGATCCACACAAATCAGATGCAAGTTCTTAGGAAGGAACTGTAAATAAACAGCATTTCTAAACGACTATATTCACATCAGCAATATACAGTATATATATACAGTACTGTGCATAAGTCATAGGCAGGTGTAAGAAATATTGTAAAATAAGAATTATTTCAGAAAAAGTGTTAGTTCCACTTATCAAAATGGAAAGTAAATGAGCAGAAGAGAAATCCAAACCAAACAAAAGTTTGGTGTGACCACACTTTGCCTTCAAAACAGCATCAATTCTTCTAGGTTGTACGCTCTAACAAGAAGGGCCCTCTGTTTCTTCTGGTACCAAATTGTATTAGAACTGTAATGTCTGCCTTAATTTTGCAAAGCGCTGCAAAAACTGTTGGTGCTTTAGAAATCCTGTATAATAGTAATAGGTGCACTTGTACTCTTGTTTTTGAAGGACCTCGGCAGGTAGGTTGTTCCAAACATCTTGGAGAACTAACCTCAGATCTTCTGTGGATGTAGGCTGCCTCAAATCCTTCTGTCTCTTCATGTAATCCCAAACAGACTCCATGATGTTGAGATCAGGGCTCTGTGGGGGCCAAACCATCACTTCCAGGACTCTTTACACTTTGTTCTTCTTTACACTGATGGTAGTTCTTAATGACATTAGCTGTATGTCTGGGGTTGTTGACCTGCTGTAGAATACATTTGGGGCCAATCATACGCATCCCCGATGGTATGGCATGATAGAGAAGTATCTGCTTGTATTTTTCAGCATTAAGGACACCATTGGTCCTGACCAATTCTCCAACTCTATTTGCAGACAGGCAGCCCCAAACTTGCAAGGATCCTCCACCATGCTTCACAGTTGCCTGCAGACACTCATTGCACTGCTCTCCAGCTCTTCACAAGCAAACTGCTGCCTGCTACAGCCAAATATTTCAAATTTTGATTCATCAGTCCAGAGCACCGACTGACATTTTTCTGCACCCAGTTCCTATGTTTTCTTGCATAGTGGAGTCACTTAGCCTTGTTTTCATGTCCATGCACAAGGAAATATAACTGCAGCAGCTTTCATTTACCCCTCTACACCTGAATTGGTCTCTTCTAAAAGGGAAGAGCTTCAACACCTCTACGTAGTGTCAGAGCTGGGCCCCTTCCTCACACAACATCTCTACACCCAATCCTACTATTATCTGGCTCGACAGCCAGCAGAAATATGGTAGAGACATGAGGGTGCTGGCAATCTCCTTCACCACTAGGAACTGCTGGAACTTTGTATAGTCACCAGCACTTCATATAGCTAGGCACCAAATAGGAGAAGGAAAAAATGTTTCTTGAACTATATTGAGCCTTAGGACTCCTCTCCTAATTTTGAGGATTGGTTCTGCACCCCTTACCATGCTACTCTAGGCACTGGCCTGCAAGTACCATTACGATGAATAAAGCCCTGAATATAGGGAACTGGTCCACTTCTGCTTCACATATGGTTTATCAGGTTTTTTTTTTTTTTCAATCAACTCTCACTTCCAATATATAGCTATGAGCAATTAAATATTCCAATAAACAAGGTTAATGTCCTCTCTCACCTTGGCTATAGCCAGCCACATGTCCTTATGGGCAGAAAATCCATGTAACATAAGGATGGATGGTTTGGGCCCCGGTCTACCTCAACATGTGTAGCAGAATCTGTAGTTTCCATAGTTGGCAAATTTTACTTGCATTCCCAAGGCCCTGCGCCAGTACCTGAAACAAAGAACACGTGTGTCAGCACTGGAAATCACAATCAGACAAATTAAAGTGTTACTAAACCCAGGACCCCGCATCCACTATATCGGTCTCCCACAGTACACAGAACATGGAAATGCAATTATTTTAGTAAATATAAACTGCTAAATACCTTTTCTCAGCAGTGAGAGCAGTCTTGTGACTTCTATCAGTGTCCAGCCAAGCACTAGCTAAAGCTTGTAGGAGAAGTTTAGTATAGGTCAAGTTTTTTAGGGTGGAACATGTAGCATGTTCCAGCTCCTGCACCTTCTTTCCCCCCCATCCACTCCCTCCATGTGACATCTGGCAGGGGATCCACTCCCTGCACCCGCTGTCACTTTTTAAAATTAGCAAGGCTATGTGGGGCTCCGCCCAAATAGCCACATCATTCATTCACAGTTTCCTGTAAGTGTTAATAAACCCAGGACCCCGCATTCACTATTTCTGGTCTTCCACAGTACACATCACATGGAAGTGCAACCATTTTAGTGAATATAAACTGCTAAATACCTTTTCTCATCAGCAGTTACAGCAGTCTTGTGACTTCCAGCAGTGTCCAGCCGAGAGCACATGTTAAAGCTTGTAGGAGTTTTCATTCTGCTCTAGGAGGATGCAAAACCCCTGACCTGTGCTGATTGGCCCTGTGCTGATCACATGCACTCTCCAAAAAAAAAAAAAAAAAAACCTCTCTAGCAATACACACCAAATTGAGCATGTGCAAAATGTCTGTCTTCTCAGGAGATAAGAGCAGGTTGCTTGAAAAAGAGGAGGAACAGAGAAGAAAGGGTCAAAGGGCCTTTTTACACAATGCGGAGGATTAACCCCTTAGGTTCCACAGTGAGTATAACAAGCATGCTTTACTGCATATACAGACTGATTTTACTGTTGTGGGTTTAGTAACACTTTAATGAAATCAAATCAATTTTAGGGCTGAGCTATAATGAGAACTATGCCTATGACTGTACATTGATCTTGTCAAACTGTTAAATCTGTTAAAATAAATACTCATTTGGTAGTTAATTATCAAGGAGATTCCGGTTAGTCTCTTGGCAGTTTGTTTCAGAGTGATGGGCTTCAGAATGGGCACAACATATGGCAAAATATTGACAGGCAGAAATAACATAAGAATAGTATACAGACAGAATCATCATATGCCTCGATATAGAGACACAGTGCAGATCAAGGTATGGGGAGTCAATCTGGGGTCAGCCCCCTGACCATGTTTATTGTGGTTCTCGACATCCTGAGTCCTGGCTCCCAGGAACTTTAGCTTAGTTTATACCATGCAAAGGGCAACCATGTGGTTGTGTAAAACAAAAGGTAACCTAATGCACATCCAAATCACAACCTCAGTGCATAAAGGGTTAATTCCATAGAACCACAGATTGGTTTTCCTCAAGAAAGACCCAGGAATCATACTTCCATAAATAAATAGTAGGCAGCACTCCAAACAGCTAACGTTTTGATTTTCATATATTTAAGAATGAAAGCATAGTATAAAAAACAGACAAGTACATCATTGTACATAGACAGGGAGGAGATCCAGGTTAAAAGAGTGCAGGGAGAAGAGGCTGTGGGGACTGGTCTAGCAGTGCTTAGGAGCCTGCAGGAGCAGAGGTCGGGGGTAGGTAAAACTGCTTTAACAACCCCCTAGACATAAACAAACAGTTAAAGTATAACTAGGCAAACCTTCTTTTAGTTTTTGCATAGAGTGGAGAGGGATTAGAACCCCTGTCAGTTTTCTATTGAAGTCTGTGTCCCAGTTAGGGAGATTCACCTTCTCTGTTTGTTCGGTTTATCAGTGAAAGTACAAGAAAATCTCAAATTTTGGGCTGTCCCCAGAAAAGTAACAGAGGGGAAATCTTCCAATGGGGACATTAGTTCTGGTGACCTGGAAGTCCCCAAGGAATTCCCTTAATTTGCAGGGATTTCCAATCACTTCTTGTTTGACAATGGGACAAGAAGTGAAGGGAAATCTCCCCAATGGGACACAGATGGCATAAAATAAACTGAGAGGGTTAATTTTGGGCTGTCCCCAGAAAAGGAATAGAGGGGAAATCTTCCAATGGGGACATTAGTTCTGGTGACCTGGACGTCCCCAAGGAATTCCTTTAATTTGCAGGGATTTCCGATCACTTCCTGTCTGACAATGGGACAAGAAGTGAAGGGAAATCTCCTCAATGGGACAGATGGCAAAAAATAAACTGAGAGGGGTTAATAACCTCCCTTACTCTATCTAAAATGTAAAATAGTGTTGCCTGTAGTTCTACTTGAACCTTTGCAGTGTGCTACAAGGGATGATTTCAAGTTTCCTGGAGTTCAGCCTTTAAGAGAACAGTCACCAGTGGGCGTTTGTAATCATCAGAATCACTACTTTTGGGCTCCAGGTACCATATACTAGTGTCCTATATTACAGTGCGTGCATTTTCATCTCACACATTCAATAGCGCAGCCTTACCAATAATAAATCTTGATGAGAGCGGCGGGCCACAGGAAAAAGGAAGTCACAAAAGCCAAAATCGGGATCAGCAAAGTACCTCCAGCTATTAGGAACATATTCAGTACATCCAGGTCCATGGTCCTTAGACCTTGTGCGGAAAGAGAGGAAACAGACTTTAGTGTGAAATTCAGCAGTGACAGTACAGCACTTCTTCCAATATCCATACATCTGTGTGCAGAGAATCAGCGCAGGTGTCTATAGTTCTGTAGAACATGAAATGAATGGGCAGACATATAATTTTTATGACAGAAGAATCATGAACAGCTAATTCTCAGAGCAATCATCCAGCATTAAAAAAAAAACAACACTATTACTCCACACTAGATTTATTCTTATATTCCTTACTTGGGCACATTTAATTTCCAATTGTTCTGTATTTTTATTGACTTACAGAAATATTTGAACACCCTGCGATTTTGAAAGTTCTACCACTTAGAAATCATGGAGGGGTCTGAAATTTACATTGTGGTGGTGCATTCCCACTCAGAGACAGAATTTAAAAAAAAAAAAATTCAGAAAATCACATACAATCATAAAAATCATACAATGCGATTTCCTGAATTTTTTTTTAAATTCTGTCTCTCAGAGTGGGAATGCACCTACAATGTGAATTTCAGACCCCTCCATGATTTCTAAGTGGGAGAACTTGCAAAATCGCAGGGGTTCAAATACTTCTGTTCCTCACTGTACATTGTATTGTGAATCGTTATCTTTTAGTCCTCATGCACATTGGACGTTTTACAGCGGCTGTTTTTGGCTTTGAGGGTTTTTTTCTACAGCCAGTAAACCCAGCATGTTATCCTATGTGTCCATGCACGAATAGACTGTAAATCAATGTTGTCTGGCAGAGGTGTTTTTTGGCTGGAAAACCCCTCAGAACTAGTTGGTTTCTAGAAGAGTTTTTTAGCTATAAAAACGCTTTAACGCTGAAAAATAGTAAATCGTGGTAAACCAGCGTTTTTGGACTTTTTTTTTTACCACAAAAAATTTTTTGCGCGGTAAAAAAAACCTCTAAAAAAAATGCAAACACGAAAAAATACAGCAAAATGCCACTAAACGCTAAAAAACGTTTTTTAAACATGACTTTACATACCAGCATTATTAAAACACCCAGTGTGCATGAGCCTAAATAAATCCAATTTACAGAAACTTGAAACAAATCAGCACAGCCAAGAATTATAAGAAATTAAAGAACTACATATTCCAAAGTTGTCTCCGTGCTGAACCTTCATTTCTTAGCCACTGTACCTAGGCAAAGCCTTGTACACACGGGCCGAATGTCAGGTGGCATTGGCCGGTTCAATAGAAACTGGCCGACATTCGGCCTGTGTGTATGGCAGCCCGTCTGACAGAAGCCAGCCAATCGACCAGCTTCTGTCAAAGGGGCATGGTTGTGGGGGCCTGCGGGCAGGGGGCTTATCGGAATCTGGAATCCCCCTTTAACAAGGGGGCCCCCAGATCCCGGCCCCCCCATGTGCATGAGGTACATAGTACCGATACTCATTCACAAAAAGTGTAGTGTGCTAAAAAGACAGGACATAAAAAATGTTATGTGCAATTAAACCATGGCAACATCTAATGTTTGTGTAGTATTATGTTCAGCAGACTGTGTTCTTCTATTGTTGTGACTTAGATGACGTTCAGAGCACATTTTATGCCCAACTCATGCAAAACTCCACGTAATCCCAAGGGGTTCACATACTTTTTTTCTTGCAACTGTACACTTATTGGTATTTTTACAAAAATATGTAGCAGAATACATTTTGGCCTAAATTTCTGAACAAACTTGACTTTTTTTTACGTGAATTTTTTTTTTTTTATTGGATATGGTTTAGAGCAGAAAGTAAAAAATATTGTTTCCAAAATGTTGACGCAAAGTCTGCCATCACAACACTCTATGCCTAGGCAAGATATGGTTTTGAACAGAATGGACACATTTCAGCTTTTTTCCTTCTTTGCTGTTGAACTACAGAATCAGTCTTCAGGCACAAGAGCTTTTACTGTCCCCTCCATTACAGTCTGTCCGCTTTGCGTTGCAACACAAGATACTCTAATAAAAGCCAAGGATTTCTTTAGAGATGTAATCTGTGCTCTTGCTACAACCTCTTCCCCAGCATGTAATGGAGCTGGAAAGTGAATGTCCTGGGAGAGAAGCACACAGCCTCCCCCAGGTAGTTTAGTGCCCAGGACCGCAGACACTAGGCCATTGAGTAGAACACCATGAACAACAGGTTTCCCAAATCTTGTCTTCTTGGCAAACTCCTCATCCAGGTGCAGTGGGTTCGTATCCCCAGTAAGTTCAGAGAACAGGGCGACGTCCTTCTGAGTGAAGATCCTAAGGAGCTCAGCACTATCACCAACCCGCAGGTGTAAAGGCCGCCACAATGCAAAGTTGTACCATTTGTATGATGATAATGGACAGCTGGAAATACCAAGTATTGTTCCTCGGGTGACCAAGTTGCGGAACATTTTTCAAAATAGCTAGTCAAGGACTAGTTCTCTGCTGTTACCTGCCAGTGCCAACAAGAAGGGAGAAACCTATATATATAGAGAAAAAATAATACTTTATTTAAAATCAACAACATGAATCAATATGTTTGTATATTTTATAAACACTGCTTGCGTTTATAGTTTTATATGTAATTTTATATGCTTTTGAGACCTGTCATGCCAGGATGCAATATAATGCATACTGCAGGGGTGAACAAATGTAGATGAATTCCAGTCTGTCTAACCCAGGAGCCAGATACACTAACTAGAGTGGACCTCAAAAGGTTAGAGACATTGTCTACCTGGTTCCTGGGATTTGTTCAGCCCTGGCATTCTATGATGAAAAAAAAAAAAAAAAACCTGATATGTTTGTGATGGACTGATCCCTTAATATTTAAATGCTACTTTATAGCTGCATATAAATACCAGGTATGCTTTCTTGCAAACATGAACTTGAACAGTAACAATAAATCTGTGGTGTGTTAGGTTTTGTTTCCATTCCAGAAGCTCAGAAGGATCACAGAACAAGTCTGTCCAGTTAGAAAGTTCACTGGCAGGAGCTTCTGATCTCAGACCTGCAGAAAAAACCCAGTGTTATTGTTCTGTACAGTGACAGCTTGTCAGATAGGTTTACCTGTAAAACACGCAAAGAGCACTCCTGGTTCTGCTTCACAAATCCACTGCAAGAAAAGAATGTCAACTTAATCAGACATGCAATAAACCATTGACAATACATAATATGGAGTTCTGAAAATACATTTACAATAGTGTGCTGCTAGCAAGTATAGAACTTTAAACTAATCACACAATTCTCCATAGATAAGATCTCATGCTTAGTATGTAAAGACTCCTTTTCAATGAAAGACGAGACCCCCTTGGATTGTGCAATTTTTAAATGTTGGGAAAACGATTCTAATCCTACCTCTTTGCATTAAAGCAGTCTCCTAACTTACTCATCTGCAATTAGAGGTTTGTTTACATACAGTGAGGAAAATAAGTATTTGATCCTCTGCAGAATTTTTAGGTTTGCCCACTTACAAAGAAATGAAGGGTCTATAGCTTTTCGTATCGTAGGTGTGTTTTAAAAGATACAGGCAAAATATCAACCAAAATTCCAGAAAAAAACACATGATACAAAACGTTATAAATTGAGTTGCAATTCAGTGAGTAAAATAAGTATTTGATCCCCTACCGACCAACAATAATTCTGGATCCCACAGACTAATCTGTGTACCACATGAGCACATAGCCAGTCATGTCAATTTAAGAAGGCACTCCCAACGACAACTTGTTATGTGTATAAAAGACACCTGTCCACAGAATCTCTTTCTTCCATTCAAACTCACCATTAAACCTAAAGAGCTGTCAAAGGACATCAGGGAAAAGATTGTAGAGCTGCGCAAGGCTGGAATGGGCTACAAGACCATTAGCAAGAAGCTTGGTGAGAAGGATACTACTGTTGGAGCAATTATTCACAAATGGAAGAAATACAAAATAACTATCAATCGCCCTCAGTGTGGAGCTCCATGCAAGCTTTCACCTCATGGGGTAAGGATGATCATGAAAAAAGTGAGGGATCAGCCCAGACCTATATGGGAGGAGCTTGTGAATGATCTCAAGGCAGTTGGGACCACAGTCACCAGACAAACCATTGGTAACACAATACGCCGTAATGAAATCCTGCAGTCCCCGCAAGGTCCCCCTCCTTAAGAAGACACATGTACAGGCCTGTCTGAAGTTTGCCAATGAACATCTAAATGATTCAGAGAAGGATTGGGACAAAGTACTGTGGTCAGATGAGACCAAAATTGAGCTCTTTTGCCATTAACTCAATTTGCGGTGTTTGGAGGAAGAAAAATGCTGACTGTGACCCCAAGAACACCGTCCCTACAGTCAAGCACAGAGGTAGAAACATTATGCTTTAGGGGACATTTCTCTACTAAAGATACAGGTTGACTTTGCTGCATTAAGTGGCTCAAGAAGAAGCACATTAAGGTCATGGAGTGGCCTAGCCAGACTCCAGACCTCAATCCTACAGAACATTTTGGAGGGAGCTGAAACTTCAAGTTGCCAAGCGACAGCCATGAAACCTGAAGAGAAGATCTGTAAAGAAGAGTGGATCAAAATTCCTCCCGAGATGTGTGCAAACCTGGTAACCAACTAAAAGAAACATCTTACCTCAATGTGCTTGCCAACAAGGGTTTCTCCACCAAGTACTAAGTCATGTTTTGCTTGGGGATCAAATAGTTATTTTACTCGCTGAACTGCAGCTCAATTTATAACATTTGTATCATGTGTGATTTTTCTGGTTTTTTTTTATTGATATTCTGTCTCTATCATTTAAAAAACACACCCATAATAAAAATTATAGACCATTTCTTTGTAAGTGGCCAAACGTCAAATATCTGCAGGGGATCAAAGAATTATTTTCCCCACTGTATGTGTTTAGTTTTGCAAATAGTATAAGACCTTTTGAAAAAAATTGCAAATGTATGATCCTATGTGCTTGCTTTATAAAAAACATCCATCTTTAGATTTTAGTTTAGTTTACAGATCTATCCCCTATGGCAGAAATTCTCAACCAATGGAAAGTACTGATAGCCGAGACAAGCTGCAGCAATGAATCAATCATCTCTTTTCTAGCTTTTGTTTATTCGGCTGCGGCAGGAAAGAAGGAGGGGTAGGTCGGACCTCATAACTAAGGTTAAAAAGCACCTAAAACATGGGACAAAGTACTACGTGTACTTTGACTCACCTGGGAAGTGGTTCCCAACCACTGGGTGATGGCCTCCCTCCTCCCAAATTTCCAGCCAGCTGTAGATTGCCTAACCAAAATAGTGCCCTCTACCTCCCATAATAACCACCTCCTGTCCAGCTGTTGTATATAAACGTCTGGACGGTGGCAGTGCAGGGTCAGGTGGCCATTTATAAACAGCCTCCCTGCCCCCTGCTTGTGCCCGCTCCCTGGGAGCGCGCAGCACTGCAACCCGGTGCCCGCTGTGTCCTCCGGGTACAGTGGAATACCGATCGTCAGACGGGACCTCTGTGCAAGGTCCCGATCATGTGATCACTGATTGGCCAATCAGTAATCACATGGAGAGTAGTAAGCAAGATGTAATTTCTGACACCTCTGCTTACTATGTGTGAAATCTATGAATGATCACAGAGGTCACATGGTACAAGGCTATTCACAACAGCCTTGTACCATGTGACAAGCTGTGATCAATCACAGCTCACACAGTAGTTCTCAATGGCTGCAACAATGCAGCCAGAGAGAAGGAGAAATGTTTGCTTTTACAGCCTTTATGGGTGTAAAAGCAATCAGTGTAAAAAATAAAAAAAAAAATAAAAATAATCATCATCCCCCCCCCCCCCCCACACACAAGTAGTACAGTGTCACCATGTTGACACTGTACTGCTAGGGTGACAGTATGTATATAAAAATAAATATAAGAAAATAAAATAAAAATGTAAAAAAAAAAAATGTTTAAACATTATAATTTTTGGTTATAGACTAATTTGGGTTTTTTTTTTTTTACTAAAGAGATAATGGAATAAATTTTGGTCAAGATTTATTATGAAATATTTATTTGCAAAATTTTATAAGAAAAACAATTTTTTTTCAAAAATTTTTGGACATTTTCATTTACATAGCAAAAAAAATAAAAATCCGAGCGGTGAATAAATACCATCAAAATAAAGCTTTATCTGTCTCAAAAAAATGCTAAAAAATTCATATGGGTACAGTGTTGCATGACCGCACAATTGTCATTCAAAGTGTGATAGCGCTGAAAGCTGAAAATTGGCCTGGACAGGAAGGGGGTAAAAGTGCCCGGACTGGAAGTGGTTTTAATATGACTTTTTTTTTGTACACAAAGTTGTCACTTTAATGATATATTGCTCGCACATGCCATGGGTATATGTGGAATAAACACCCCAAAACACATTATTCTACTTCTTACAAGTATGGCCATACCACATGTGAGAGACTTTTTGGCAGCCTAGCCTAGCTACATACATGCCCCCAAAAACCAATGACCACCTCCAGGCTTTCAAAGGGCATATTTCCTCATAGTACAAATGACCCCTTTTGGAAAGTAGACACCCAAGGAATTTGATAAGAGGCATGGGGAGTATTTTACAGATAAAATGTTTGTCACCAGGGTTTTGAAAAAAAAAGAAAATGTTTTTGTTTTCTTTCTTCATTTTTCAGAAACATGTGGCAACAAATTAGATCTGAAAAAACACTCGCCATGCCTCTTAGCAAATACCTTACACATACATACATACATACACACACACACACTTCCTTTACACGTTCTTCACATACCTGCTGTTGATTCTCAATATTGCACACAACGTCTTATCATCATATTTTAACAAGTCCAAGGGACAAGAGGCTCCCACCTAGAAACAAAAACACAAAGAAAAGGATAACTCAGTGGACTGATAGAATAGCAGAAATTGTCATGAACTAAACTGTATATAAAGGATTTTTTTTAGCTAGTGTAGGGAAAAGTTAAAACCTCTGTCATGTTTTTATTGAGGTCTCTGACTATGATAGGTAGAGATTCACCCCTCTGTCATGACAATAAATGAGCAAAAAAATCCAAAATGTAAGTGTTGTCTCCAGAGAAAGAGGTGAGGAAAAGTCTTCCAATGGGGACAGCTGTTCCTGTGGCAAATTTCTAAATGGAATTTCTGTTCCCTGAAATGGATTTCCTCTCACTTTCTGTTGCATTTCCAGGACAGGAAGTAATGTCCCCAGATGAGCAAATGCAGCAAAATAACTGCAAAGGGGTTTTAGCTCTTGATACTCTTTCCAAAACAAAAAGTGTTGGCTTTACATATTATGGCCAGGGATGAAATATTTTATTCATAGGGGCTCATTCATACGAGTGATCAGACCTCATCCGTATAAACCCAAACACTTATTAATTACACAGGTTCTGTGGCTGATTAAGGAGGCAATTAAACTCACATAGTGCCTTGTCTGCATTAAATAAGCCTCAGAACCGGTGTAATTAATAAGTGTTCGGGTTTAAAAGGATGAGGTGGCAACCCTAGATCAGACCCATCCTCCGATCTAAGCTGCTGCCTGCTGCGTGTTATCCAACTTGGAACTTCATACAGACAGCCCACAGAGGTGGATGCACGTGCAGCGGCTTCACAGACACAATCACATGTCATAATTTCACATGCAAGCAGGTGCATGGATCCGAATGCACAGGTTCTGTGTTCGTGCAGCTACTGCGTGTGAATCCACTTCTATGAGCTGCCTACATGCAGCTCTGAGGTGGATTCACGCACAGAAAATGAGTCCTTAGTGTCTGTCTATTAGTTGCTCTTTACACCAGTTAATAATGAGACAGGCAATTATAACCAATCACAGAAAAATAAGATAAAATCACAGGTAACAATGGAGTATTCTGCATGTCACAATCAGTTAAAAAGGAAACTACAATGCACCCTCTCAGGCAGTTCTCAATTTGAGTTAAAGTGGTTGTAAACCTCTGACATGAAATATGAACAACATATATCCTTCTATATTGTGTATTTGTATCACCCAGGGCACTAAGCGTAATTTCTTTTTGCTGCCTTGTTCCTCTATCTGCAGTCACTTGTGACAAGTTTTCCTGACCCCAAGAGAAAAAAGATGACAGGAGAGGGCACATCCTGTAACTGACAGCCTTGGCAATGTTCCTGTGTGCTGTGTGAAGGAGGGTGTGTGTCCCTTCCCTCTAATCGGCTTTGGAAACGCTTCTCACTGAGTGTAACTTCAGCTCCCCGACCCCTGTAATTCAGAGCTGAGAGATCCTGTGTAAATTCTGCACTTTGAATGGATTTAGAGGACAGATAGCTGTAGATAAACAGGTCCAACTTATGAAGGAGGATTTGTTTCATCTCTGTGTATCACCTGAGGCTAGCTACACTTCACTGGGTATGTGAAAGGGCCAATTCACACCATAGAAACGCAGTCCAGATGCGCTTTTTCACCCTTTTTTCTCTTCAATTTAAATAGGGACATGTGCAATTCAGTGCACTTTTGGTGCATTCCAGTGCGTTTTACTGCGTTCCAATACAGTTCTGTGCAGGAAAAATGCAATCTGTTCTACTTTTTTTCTGCAACTGGAACTGCAAGCACTGATGTGAACTATGACATTGACAACCATATAACCTACTTTCTGTGTAATGTGGAGGCAGAAAAAAAGCAACTGAAATGCATGTAGTGTGAACTGGCCCTAAGGGTTTACAACCACTTCAATTGTTAAGAGGACCATTTTTTACTATGAGTTCACATATTTACATGTGTTGTGCCTGCTGTGCCACATTTTTATGCTTTTTTTTCATGTACAGATAGGGTGGCCTCTGATAGAGTGGTTTACTGATTAGCATCCACATTGAAGAACCAAAGGGATAAAGACAATTATTCACAAACAGAATCAGTTGTCGTGAATCATTCCAACTGAATGATAGTCTTGCACTGAATACAACTGTAAAGCTAAGTTCACATTTGTGTGATGTGGTAATGCATGAAAAAAAATCACATGAATTCCCGCAATGAACAAAAAGCGTGCATCCTTTTTGCAGGCACATAGCGACACCCCAACACACCTTGCTAAAATGTGTGTGATGTGTGTTTTGGTGCAGTGGGATTAAGGGGAAAAAAAGTCAACTTTCGCGCACATGAGAAGCCAAACAAAATGAATGTATACCCTAAATGTGATGCACCAAAATACAGAAACACCTGCATAGGCGTGAACAGAGAGCCCTACACACACTGCACTGAGACTATGCACTACTAGATCCATGGAAACGTGGCTGCTATGCTGTATGCTTGAAATCAATTAAAAAAAAATACTAAAATCAGAAAAGTGAAAATAATTCCAATGATGGGCTCATGCACACAGCTGATTTGGGCCGTACACTGCCCAGACCAACATAGTTCTGCGGAGGTAACACAGGTGTTCCAACATGGAAGGGCAGGAAACCTGTATAAATCAATAACAGGCTGACAAGGTCTGTATCTGTTTGCATGTAATTGCACATGGAGTGGTTATCTGCTGTTCGGGATGGATGTGCGCTCCAGGACATGGACATTCTGGGGTTGATTTACTAAAACTGGAGAGTGCAATACCTGGGCAGCAGTGCACGGTAGCCAATCAGCTTCTAAATTCAGCTTGTTCAGTTAAGCTTTGACAAAAACCCTGGAAGCCGATTGGTCTCTATGCAGAGCTGCACCAGATTTTGTCCTCTTCAGTTGCAGTAAATCAACCCCTCTGTGTCTATAGGCACGGATCCATCCCTGCACACATGACTGCTTTATATGTAATTACATCTGAACACCAGTGAACAGTGTCAGCCTAGTCGGCTGTGTGCTTTTTTTTTTACTAAAGAGCATAGGAAGTTATGGTGATGGGAGATTAACAATTTTGTCATGTAGGGATGTGAAGAAAAATTCTCAGTCTTCTATCCTGGTACTGGAAGCCATAAAAGTGGACAGTCCATGAAGATCAGACACAACCGGTACTTACCTCTCCATGCAATTCCTTTACAGCAGACACAATCAGTGATTTGTACTGAGCTGCAGTCAGCTTGACACCTTCACGCTGAAATACTCTGCAGACCAAACACAAGTATATCAGTAAGTACACAGAGCTCCTATAATTAGGGATGAACACGGGCGTGGTTGGATCCTAGCCTGAACCCAGGTCAGCAAGCCCATCAGGAACTGTTACCTGTACTGGGCTAATCATCTGCAGCTAAGGCATTCCCCCCACTCCAGCCAGATGTATCACGCCCCTGGTATATGTGCAGCTGCAGGGAATTACTCGGCCACCGATGATTGGACCAGTACAGGCGACAGCTTCCTGGCAGGCTCGCTCCTTGGGTTCAGACTAGGATCCAAATATGGCCAAGTTCATCTATAATTATATTTAGTGTATTTGCCTGAGCAACTCACAGCTGGATCTTCAGGTACTGATACTCAGAGGGGTTCTTCAGCACAGTCCTTTCACATGAAACTGGTTCCGATGGAACGGGTCGCCCTTCCATGTTTACACAATCCAGTTATTTCTAGGAATATAAATCACAGGAAAATAAAATGCTTCCATTTAGATATATAGGCTCCCTAATAGAAACTAGTGGAAGTGCCCAAACGTGCCCCCTATGCTCCTTCATCCAGAGTGGGGGGCACTCTAATACAGGAGGTGTGTTACTGGCCAGATCACCTGGTGAAAACAGAGGGGGAAAAAAGACTAATTTAGCACATCTAGTGAATGGTAAGCTGCAATATGGCTCATTACTAAAGAGCAGAGTGGGGGCTAATAGGTGTGTTACTGGCCAGATTTCATTTAGCACATCTAGTTGGTAAGCTGGTTTGGGGATAATACCACCTTATTGACAGCTGGCATTATACAGCCCACTTCCTGTGAGCCCAGGTTGTCATGGACACACCACCCTTAGGGTGCATCATCATTGCCAGTCCTGAGCTCACAGTACACAGGATGGCGCTCACATTAGATCACTTCCGGGGACCTGGAATCTTTCTTCCATGAACCTGACTCATCTGTACAGGAGAGCGGGCCGCTGACATCCTCATCCTTCTCTCAGCTCAGTCATCTGGGAAGTACTGCAGCCAGCCAGAGCCAGGAGATGTGTATTGTAGGAGGAGGTCAGCCATGGCAGCCCCTGGCTTTCCTCTATCACATGTACACCAGCCTTTCTTCTCAGCTGTATAATCCAGACAACCTATAAGAATCACCATAACCCTCTGTACTCTGTATGTCCTACACCCCGGAGCCACTACACTCACCATCCCTCCACCTGGACACCTCTCACACCGAACACCAGAGGAAAGACAAACCTGCACATGGCTAACCAAACATGTCTGCACTGCCGGGGCAGCGAGTTCTCCAGGATCCAAGGCGACCGCCATATGTAAGAGGACCAAAGAACCATTCATATTGGCTGCAATGTCCTCCGCAAAATGGCTCCGAAATGGAGACAAAATAAGAACTACGCATGACCTCTATGGACTGTGTCCTGCGGGCGTAACTTTGTAAATTGTCCCCCTAGAAACTGTGACTTGTGACTTCCTACAGCTAAAGTATATTCTATGCAGTACAAAACCTGGTGTGTTACTGCCATCTAGTGGACAAATAGGAATTTACACTAGCGATAGAAAACATCACAATGCTATAGTTTTCACTCCTTACATTTCAGAACCATGAAATAAACTGGTTCAATAACCGGCGTGTTACTGCCACCTGGTGGGTCAGATAGGAAGTTACACTAAAGTCATAATACTGAAATTTGTTCAATAAAAGGTGTGCTACTGCCACCTAATAGAAAAATGGGAAGTTACACTAACATTACTATTATTATTATTATTATACAGTATTTATAAAGCGCCAATAGTTCGCTCAGCGCTGTACATTACAAAGGGGGACAGAACATGTGACAGAACAATACCAATACAATGTGATACACGAGGGGTTCGAGGGCCCTGCTCTTTCGAGCTTACAATCTAGGAGGGAGGGGGTGGTGGCACAGGAGGAGATAGCTGTGGGGGATGGAGTGGTAGGAAGAGTGGAGGAGGTCGGCAAGTTAGCAGGGGGTGGGGTAGGCTTCCCTGAAGAGATGGGTTTTCAGGGTGCGCCTAAAGGAGAGGAGAGTAGGTGATAATCTGATGGGTTGGGGCAGGGAGTTCCAGAGGATGGGTGACACCCTGGAGAAGTCCTGGAGGCGGGCATGGGAGGAGGAGACCAGGGAACTAGAGAGAAGGAGGTCTTGTGAGGAGCGGAGTGTGCGTTCTGGGCGGTACTTGGTTATTAGGTCAGTGATGTAGTTCGGGGCAGTATGGTGGACAGCTTTGTACGTCAGCGTTAGGATTTTGAATTTGATCCGTTGCGCAATCGGAAGCCAGTGGAGGGATTGGCAGAGGGGGGTGGCGGAGACAGAGCGGTTGGAAAGGTGAATGAGTCTGGCAGCCGTATTCAGGATGGACTGAAGCGGGGATAGCCAGCGGCGAGGCAGGCCAGTGAGGAGGGAGTTGCAGTAGTCGAGTCGTGATATGATGAGGGAGTGGATGAGCTGTTTAGTGGTTTCTGGGGTTAGGAACGTGCGGATTTTGGCGATGTTGCGGAGGTGGAGTCTGCACGAGTTTGTTAAAGATTGGACTTGGGGCTGGAAGGATAGGTTGGAGTCCAGAATGACACCCAGTACTCTGGCCTGCAGGGCGGGTTTGATGGTAGCGTTGTTGCATGTGACGAAGAGAAAAATCAATGGGGGGTGGTGTCCGGGCTGGGGGGAAGAAAAGAAACTCGGTTTTGGAGAGGTTCAATTTAAGGAAGTGGAGCGACATCCAGTCTGATATGTCGCTCAAGAAAACAGAAAATAAGCGAGCGCTTGAAATAGATATAATGAGCAGCGGCTGTACACCAGAAAGGCACCGTATCAAACCTTCAGGGACATAAATATAAAAAGGGGGGGGTGCAGCGCTACATCTTAGCAAAATGATAAATCAAACACAGATAATAAAACAATAAAACAGTGACTGTGTGCTAATAGAGCCACTGGATGGTGGCTATGAAGTGAAGGAAGTGAAACAGTCCAATGGAGGAGTGCTCTTAAGATCCAGGATGATCCTCAGACGTCCAATATTAGGAACCGTCAGGTGATAAAAAATGTAAAGACTGCGCACTCACCAGATACGCAATCTTTATGCGCATTTGTGTATAATATCACTGGACGGACCTCCTGTGTCATCATCCTGGTCTGGTCAAATCTGGTCAGCATATCCTCCCTTGCCTGATATCCGGATAGATGCAGCTATTCCATGGATCTGGCTGGCTCCCACCAGAACTCAAATAAACAGAAAAGGCCACATAGTGTGATATCCTCAGGTATCTTTATTGTAGGCAAAGGATAGCAGGAAAACCAACATGTAAAAAATTACTGACCCAGATGCAAAATCAAAGATGGCCGCCGGGGCCCCTCGTGGTGCCGGCGGTGAA